GTCAGTCTGCATATGCTAAATGGTAATGTTCTTTTTTGGCACTGAGTAGTCTTAATTTCTTACTTCGCATAAATAAGGTTTTTCTCCTGTATGAATACGTGCATGTTTTTTAAAATGTTCTGGGTAAATAAATGACGCTTGGCAGACATCACATTTGAAAGGTCTTTCTCCAGTGTGTGCAGCCTTCATATGATAATCTAACAAGCGACGTCTCTTAAATCCTTTACCACAATCTGTACATTTATAACGCTTATCATCATAGTGGGTAGCTCGTTTGTGAGATTGCAAATTGCTTCTTTGACTAGTTGTATGAATAATACAAATGGAATATTATTTGTCAAATATTTGATTAAAAAAGACATTTCAAATTTAAAAATTATACCTGAATGTTGCTCCACAGAATTCACACTGATATGGTTTTTCTCCTGTGTGAATACGCTCATGATCCCTAATCTCAGCTTTTCTAGCAAATGCTTTACCACACATACGACAAATAAATGGTTTGTAACCTGTATGTACAACATAATGCACTTCTAAATTGCGTGCAGTGCCAAAAGCTTTACCTAAAATTAATAAATATTAGTCACAATTATTAAAACTTGAAAAAAAAAATGAAATAATATTATCAGTGCTCAGTAATAATATACCAACAATAAAGCATAATCAATCTAACAAAAAATAGAGATAAAATTTGGAGGCTATAAATCATTTAAAAATGTGAAAGTATTAAAGAAGTTTTAGTAATGTTTAAAATAGATACTTATTATTTCTTGATTAATTTTATTATATTGTGTAAAAAAATATACATATAAAGTTGCACACTTACCACATTTTTGGCATACATAATTTTTAAGTCCTGAATGTGTTCGTTCATGATGTATCAGATTTTGCTCAGTAAGAAAAGCTTTGCCACAGTTTATACAAGTAAAGTTACGCTCACGATTGGTATGTACTTTTTCATGTGCTTTAAATGTATACTTGGAAGTAAAATCTTTACCACAAATTTCACARCGATAAGGACGCACACCTGTATGTGTGTTATTGTGTTCTTCTAATGTGTTCCGAGACCTGTAAAATAATTAATCTTAAAACTAATTGTTGAAAATAAATGTGATCAATAAACTTTACTCACGCAAATTGTCGGCCACAAGTTTCACAAGTATGATTTTTAGATTGTGGCATGTGCATTTTTTTATGTACCCTGAACATACGCACATTGGTAAATACTCGACTGCAAATGTCACAAACAAAGTTGCCATCTTCACTATTTGCATGATGTTCTAGATGTTTCATCAGTTCAGGCCTAGAAGAAAGCATTACAATGTATATATAATACTAGATTAGTTATAGACAAACTAACATCATAATATAAGGTRTAAAAACTTAACCTAACAAATTAATAAAAATAATTGTATGGTTTGAAGTATGATAGTAAAGAAAATAGTATAAATTAATTTTAATAGAATGTCATACCAGCTGTGTTGTTTCCAGCTTACAGATGTACTAGAGTAAATTTTCYAATAGGATGCTGTTAGTTAATATATAAAAGTGAATCMTATTTTGTTCAAGTTTGACGACAGTAAACTTATCATCAAACTTTTAGGTAAGAACATAATCCGTGTTCTCTCCATCATTTTTTTACAATATTTAAATTTTTAAGATAAAATATTAAAATTTGAAAATGATAATGATTTGCTTAAAAATTAAAATATAGCAAAAAATCAATAAAGAGAACACAGAAAACGTTTTTACCTAAATATTTGAAGGTAGGACGATTCACTCTAATATAAAAATTATAGCTGGTGAACAAAAATTTAATACCGTACGTGTGTAAGTTAGAGACAACACATATGAGAATGCCTTCCTAAAAATAATAGAACAATCTTAACTTATGAGGTGAAATTATAGGTAATGAAATTCAAAAAATTGTTAAAATCCAGACAAGTAGCATACCAAATTGTAACTCATTGCCAGAAAATGCAAGTGACAATTTGGCAAGTACATGGCCCATGACACATGAAACTCAACAATAATTTTTGTAAAAAAAAAAAAATGATTGTATTTCTCATAATTAATATTCATTAATTTAAGATTTTAGTGTCTTTAATTATAAAACTGGGTAAAGCTATCAAAACAAAGAGKTAGATCTGATATAAAATATATGTTTTCAACATTACTTTTTAAGGAACTCTTGCCCACATATATCGCAAATAAATAACTTAATCTGATGGACATTTTTTGCATGAACCACAATACCTCTAGCATCTGCTGTAAATTTATTATCTACACTACATAATAGGCAAGTGTAAACTTCTCCATCATGATGAACCAACTATAAAAATAAAACATAGACAGTTAGTCTTCAAGTTTATAGTAAAAACGTACCCATATAAACTTAATAAACTTTACCATTTGTGGTATGAGGATTTCAGGAGTTTTTTTCTTCAAAGAATTTTTAGTCATTTTTGATTTTTTTGGACTACTAGGCTCCTCGGCACCATCAACACTATCATTTTTAGAATCATCAATTCCTTCATAATCTGAATCTTCTTCATCAAGTATAGCGCTGTCATCTAAATCATCATCTTCATCAATATTTTCCATGTCAGCATGTAATATAGATTCCTGTTTGATATCGGCAGGTTGGATCAGTTTTTGAGAGCATTCTTCTTCCATATTAATTGAAACCAAATTGTTATCCTTACATTCATCATGTAACATCTCAATTAAATTATCTACTGATGAACACTTTTGCTGCTTTTCAATTTCTTTGATGTCAATATCATCATGTAAAATGTCTTCGTTAGAAATAGGTATATCAATAGATTCTTCCTTAATCTTAGGACGGCGTCCTCGTTTTTTAACCGGTTTTGGTGAATCGACTTCAAGTTCAGTGTCAATAGTGTCTATAGTATGTATATCTAAACCTTCAGATTTACTCCTAGAATAATAAATTAATTAAATAACATATATTTAATTTTTTTTTCAATATATTACTTCAATGTGCGTTGATATTGAGATGTAAGCTCTAATTTAATGTCAGCTAACCGATCTTCAAGTTCATCCACTTCATTCAAAGATTTATAAMATCGGCGGCACACAACAACGGAATGAACATCTTCTGAAGAGAGGATTATACCAAGGACACCATCAATCACCTTAACAACAGTTCGATCTGAAGAATTCACACGGTGCTGAAATATAGAGATAGCATTTCGAGCTGATACTCCCGTGCTACCATCACAGATTAAACATGTATTTGATGTTGTTGTTGAAGACCTTTCATGTTCCAGATCAGTTGCCATAGTAACTTGCTAATTTGTTAAATTTCTAAAGAAAATTTCAAAAATACAGTTAATTAACCACAAAAAACTTATTTAAAAGTAAACAATTTTATGAACTCAAWGTGATAAAATYGAGTAAACTCATTAGTAAACTATTCTGATTAGGCAATAATTAAAAATACATTGCAAATGAGATTGGTACAATGTTGTAATTAAATTAATTAAAATCTAGATGGTATAAATTCGTTATGTTGAAAATAATGTACATAACTCAGTTATCTAATTTGTATATTTATAGAGAATATTATATTGGATTGAAAAATCTCAAATTAGTAATATGACAATACATTTTTAGTTCAATACAGTAATACATACCAATTAAAATAAATTGCAAATTGATTTAAAAAATAACAGATGTGTTAACAATATTAAAATTATTATGGTATTTGGTAGTTGAACAAGGAAATTGTTTGGATTTTGTTTGGACAGACTAAAATTAGATACGAATCCTTTAGCGAAGCTATTTGAGAGTGAAATACACATGAGATAAGAAACTAAAAAATTAAAACATAATTTTTTTTGGAGGGAAAGTGGATGGCAATGACAAATCACCAAGAATAAACGGACTCCWTATATCACTGGAAAAAATCGCAGGATTAAATAACAAGAAATAATCATAAAAACTATGTTTTTTTTTTTTCATGAATTATCGTAATAAAAACTAAGTGGCAAATTGGACACAATAAATCGATCGGACGCCTGCGACCGTCTTTACATAAACTACAAGGGAACACGGGAAACAATAATAATTCGGGCGGCATCGTTTTAGCCATTAACAACAAAATTCATTAAGTAAAATATATATTACACATTTTTTGAGGTGACGGTGACGGACGAATCACAAAAAAAGACCCAACCTCAACCAAAGTCAAAAACCCTAAATCGAATAACTATTTCTTTAAAAAGGCACTGCCGTCCGCCAATACAGCGTACGGTACGCGTAACGTATTATCACCGATTTCATGACGATTTGAGGCCTACTAAACAAACCAAGTCAGCGGCGGATAATATTAATTACTACTGAAAGACACCAAGAGTTAAAAAAAACTGAAAACGGGCTCAGAAATTGTCTGGTTTAGGAGGCGTCCCATCCGCACTCCGCCAGGAAAAATGACCGACCGGAATCGCGACGGCCGGCCCGAGAAAGGTTCGCGAAGTTTGCAGTTCAAGTGATCGGGCGACACCGAACAAAATAACAAATTACGAAATTCACATTACATACGTGCAATACAATAGCGCGGGCGAGAAAAAATAACGTCCGTCCGTGTCCGCCAAAAAATGGACAACCTGTAACGGTCGGAACCAAAGTTGCCAATATGAAAAAACATTTGGCCGTACAGCATTGTCGTCCCAGTGTTGGCCGACGGTCTCCCGGTCCCCATACCAACCAAAAAATAACGCCGGCGACCGGAAAAYGGCGGACGAGGTCGCGAACGGGCTGTACTCACCACTGTCCTAGTGCGTCGTGTTCGGTGCTGCTTGCGCTGTCCGGATGGCGTACAAAGCTCACAGCGCTAAACGTACCGACAAAAAAGGCTACTGCGGCGTCGTTGAGACCGTTCGGCGGTCGGCCATTTTGAGTTTTGGTTTTATGTGGCAGGCGGCGTACTGGTAGCCCGGTCCCCTTCCCCCATCATCTAGACGGGCGGTTCCTGTGCGTGCGCGTGTTTTATCCGTTCAACGTAATATGAGTGAGCGGTGTAAACAACTAATAACAACAACAACAACAACAACATAACGCGACTGGGCGGCGCAGTCGCGCGGCACCATGAGCCAGTTGATAACAACAAGGCCTCGTATTACGTTGTGATAACTGATAACAGCCTGCGCCCGTCGTGGTTACAGGTTTTACTGTTCCATGAAATGCGAGGAAATTTGTTTGCACGTTCGTAATTTGTATTTTGTATTATTCGCCGCCGTTCGGGTCCAGGATTCGACATCCGTGTCGATTGTAGATAATCCTAGCTCCGGCGACCGTTTCCACCTGTCAACGCCAATCCGTTGCAACTCACCACGGCTCCCTCGGCTGAAGTCTGTTTGAAATTCGGTTGGAATYAAATATCAATGCGCGCCCGAGCTATGCAGTCCAGCACTCTCAGCACATTCAGGTACGTCAAAACCAGTACCGGATATTATCCCTGGTGGATCGCGTGCTTTTTTTCAAATTTGATCATCACGTATGCACTGCTTATCCCCCTAAAGTTCGGAACCGCTAAATCTCCTAGATTTACAGCCGTCCTCCCGATGATTTAGTCAGTAGCATGTATGTCTTTATAAGTGCTCACACCGTGTTATACTACTTTTTACATATTTATATATAGACCACTTTCACGAGTTAGTCATTTTTCACGGTAAGAGTCATCACATGGCTACTAAAGTTATTTAGAGCTAAGATAACCTCCTCCCCAATGCTGTAGACACCCTTAGATAATTTGTTTGTAAGTTTTWTCTATCAGAAACCCTCACAATTCATTCCAATATCTATTTTTGCAAATATATGACTGATTGTTAAGCTATTAGTCTAACCTTACTAAATCTGTATCTCTTCAAAATGTATTATACACGGCCCATTAATAACTTAAAATCATAAATTATATTTAAAACAAACTACTTATGTATATAAAAAAAAAATTTAATTTTTTAAAATTTTTTTCAGATTTTTTATAGCCAAATTAACAACATCATGTCAGGAACAGTGAAGTATATGGTTAAAGACCATTGTGCTAACTCTCAAGTTGTCCATTCACCAACTAGAAATTGTGATGTTGTAAATGGTGACCATGGAAAATCAGAAATGAGGAATGTAATTGAAAAACAGCAACAAAATAAGCCAATTAGAAAAATTATTAGAATGAGCGATTTAAAAGATAACAATACTGAAATCATCACTGTTTCTCCAGAATTCTTTGATGACAGTTCATCAGAGATAAAAGAAGAACCTATGTCAGATTCAAGTTATGATGATCTGGAAGTAAATTGTGAATATCAAGAAGATCCAGAGGTAATTGTTGTCTGTGGTGATGACTTGGATCAATCTAGTGGCAGTGACTTAGAAGGCATGAGACATGAAGACCTCAGTATAAAAAAGCATAATGAAATCAATCCTTCCGATGTTGTTGTAAGAACAGACATTTTAAATGATTTATTAGAAGGGCGTATGACAAAAACTACTAAAAAACTTCTTGATTCTACAAAGATTTCTTATTTGCCTATGCAGCTAACTTCTAATGAATTTCGTTCTACGTATACTAATGATAAAAGCCCATTCAAAGTTCGACCTATAAAAGCTAATAAAKGTTTGAGACATTTCTCCAAAAGAGTATGTGATAAGGTTAAGACTAAAATGGTTACCACGTACAAAGAAGTGGCAGATGAATTAGTAGCTGAATGTGTTGGTAACAGTGATAGCCCAACCTTTTTATATGATCAAAAAAATATCAGACGCCGTGTGTATGATGCCTTGAATGTATTAATGGCTTTAGATATAATAGCTAAGAATAAAAAAGATATAACCTGGAAAGGGTTACCTACTGGATCCATACAAAACAGTGTATATCTAGTTCAAGAAAAAGAAAACCGCCTTGATAGTGTGAAAAGAAAACTTTTAGCCCTTCAAGAGATCATAATGCAAGAAGTAGCTATCAAACGTTTAGTGAAACGTAATCAGGATATGGAAAATGAATTTGGTCCTCCACCTAATAACACATTTGTCAATTTACCTTTTATGGCGATTAGTGCAAATGAAGATACATCTGTTGAAATAGAAATATCAGAAGACCAAAAACAATATGGAATGAGTTTCAATGATAAATTTAGTATGGTTGATGATACTGAACTTTTGAAAACTATGGGTTTCACTTTAGGATTGGATCGTGGCGAAGTGAGCAATGAAGACTTAAAGATTTTGAAAACATTAGTACCCAAAGCATTTGAAAAACACATTGTTATGATGGCTACTAAAAATGGAGAAATGTTTAACGATATCTGTAAAGAATTTGATGAAAAAATTAGGTCTGCTGAAATTGAACAATCTCCATCAAGGCCCAATATTATTAATAGAAGAAAAAATAAAAGATAAATAAAATATTTAAGCAATCTATTTTTTATTATTTTGTTATCATGACAATCATCAAAATAACTGTTGAATATGTATATTTTTTTCTGTAAATAACTGAATGTTAATTAGTTTTAACTTGTACAGATTTAACTATTTTATAAATATATTTATCATTAAATCTGTTAATAAACTTTAACTTTTAACTTTTTCCTTATTGAATAACACTTTAATTTTAATAAGTTCATAAATATTATAAAGTTTAAAGAAAGTTAATTGTAATGACAATAAAATCAAAACCTGTGTTACAATATTTGTTATATTCTGAATGATGAATAACTTTAAAAGCTAACAAGTAAGAATGATGAATATATGATTTTACCATGTATTTTTTTGTGTATGTAAATCTTAGTCAAAATACTTCGATTTCAACTTAAAATCTTTTGTGTTACAAAAGATTTCAACTTAAAATCTTTTGTGTTACAAAAGCGAATGTAGTAGATACTTCGGTAGTCAAAACTAAAAGTACTTTTCTTAATATTTGGAAATATTTACATTTAATCAATTTCTGAATAATTAATTTCTCTTACTGTAAATAATTGAAATTTGAAGCTTATAATGGGCATGTGAAGCTTAAGATTTTTATTCAAAGAACTTGAAAACATACAATATGTGAATCATAAGCTGTTATTAGTGAAATTCAAAATAAAAAAGTTTGTAATAAATTAACAATTATTTTTTTTATGAGTAATAAGATATTGTCATAATTGCTGTGGCTTAAAAATGGAGTTTCTGTAGCAATGAATTTAAATTTTAGTATCAAGTTTCTATTAATTATGATAAAAGATAGAATAAATAACTTTGATAGTAATATMAATCTTTCAGAAGATATTCTTGGTATTTAGTAATATAGACTGTCCGCATTCATTCAGAATTGTTTTTCATTTACAATGATTGATCACCAAATACAAGTTTAATATAATATACATAACAAGGACTACTTCAATGATGAGATACACTTGATAATAGTCAAAACACACATAGGTATTGTCTGTACTGCAAAATACAAATAGTTATTATTATTACTTACCTCTACTTCTCTCCTTTCTTTGTTAGAAATRATGGTAACAGAATAGATTTTATAAGACCATATTTACCATGATCATCTTATTTACGCAATCATAATTTTTTTTTTCACTCGTTATATCATAATTGGTATTTCATTCATAAAGTTTATCGAATCACAATTAGGTATAATAATTTAGATTACAATAACCGTCCTCCAAAACTTAACGTTGAATAAATAGATCAACTGTTTATTAATATGAATAACAATAACCAATGAACAACATTAAAAATCAGAATAATTAATTTCAAATATAAAACTCGTCAATTTTGTTTTAATGATAACTAATAACAATTATGAAACGATCAAAGTTAAACCATTAACTAAACTTGATACCTTTTTCTTCTTTGATTTGCTTTTGTATATCTAATGCTCTTTCTTTATACTTCTGAGCAAGATTCATATCTTTAGGTACACCGTCTCCTTTTTTGTAAACTATAGATGCATTAACACAACCTTTCAATTCATTTTGATCACAAGCTTTTATTGAGTATTCTAAAAATTTGGGCTTATTAGGTTCTAATCCAATTTCCTCAATGCCAGCAAAATGAATATTGCTGGCTACATAACATGCTTCTGAATGCTTGTTGTTACATGCTTTTTCTAAGTATTGCAGACTCTAAAACAGACAGGTGTTATTACTTAAAAATTTAATTTGTATTAAATATAGCCTAAAAACTTGCTTTAAGTAAACTTTTTGTTCTTTTATCAACATCAGTTATTGAATCACTATGATAACGAAGTTTCATTCCAGCTGCAAAACATCCGTCAGACCAATTGTACTCACAACCTTTTTGAAAATATCTTATCATCTATAAAAATAATATATAATTCAGTTATAATGTAGAACAGCAAATGAAACATTAAAAAAACTTGTTGGATAGGTAAGGTATTCACTAAAATAAATATTTTCATTACCTCAGGAATTACTGGTTTGAGATTTTTCAAGTTATTTTTTTCCATGTAGGAAGCATACTTATAGCAACTGCGACCAAAGTTCCGTTCATCACAATTTTCCTTATATATTTTGGCTGCCTTATCTGGGTTGTTTTCTATTGTCTCTAAGTAATCACCAAGTAACTGACATACTAGGTAGAAATTGTTAAATAAAACAGTTTGTTACTTCAAATATTTAAAATAAAAAGAATAAAATACCAATTTCTAGACTTACTTTGAGGATCCTTTTCACTAAAACAGCCAAATCTATATTCAATCCCTAAGTTTTTAATATATTCTTTAACATCTTCGTCTTTCTTGAAATCATATGACATTTTCGTTAAAAACGAGTTATTACTTATGACTTACCAATTAAAACTGAACAAGAATTGAAAAAATAGAATGAACTCAATTCAATATTTCAATGAACCAATTGATTAAAATTTAAAATATCTAAACTTTGAAAATACTTTTTGAAATTAATCGATATTAAAATTAAAATTAATATTAGTTATAATATTATTTAATATTTACWATTTAGGTATCATCACTATCATTAGACGTTCATACATAACAATTCTGTGAGATAATAGATAATAATATCACAGATTATATAATCTGTGATAATATTATGTCTATCCATCACGGACTAAGATATATATATATATATATATATATATATATATATCTTAGTCCGTGCTATCCATCGAGATATATAAACTATATAGTATAGTTTATATATCTCGATGTGTCTATCGTGAATCCGTGATACCCATTATAGAGTTAAGAGCAAAGAGTTAAAGGCAGGCACGCCCGGAGGGGGGGACTAGGTGGTGCAAATGCACCACCTGAGAATTTTAATAATTTGGATTTTTCAAATAAATAATAAAATATAAAAATTCATTCTCTGTAAATTTTTAATTTATGCCCATGATTATTCCCAATATAGTAATACTTATTAGCTATTCTGGCATCTGGCTATTCTGAGATATCACCGTCTGCCGCATTTTAGTACTGWGTACAGTCACGTCTAACCACGCGTCTATTAATACATTTATTTTGGTAGATATGGGGATGTTGTCATACACCAATAATACGGAGCCACAGTACTTTATGCCCGAGGCACCCCCTCAACGATATGGAAGCTCAAGCTCGGCAGAATATAGTATATCACATGGGTCACCCTGGACCACAAGTACACAGCACTCCGTGTATGACTCAAACCTTGGGTCCTCCCAAACTCCGACTCTATCCTCGCAACCAACTGTTTCCCACTTGCTTCCACCAACAACTGATGAAACACCGCAAGACCAGAACAACCCAGAAACGAGCAATTTATTATTTAAGATGTAATTATTAAAATTTGAAAACATAATTTTACATTTTTTTTTTTATTAACTATTAAGTTACATAAAGTTAATTTATTTTTTTGAACACTTTAATTTTAAAATAAAGAAATAATTAAATATGTAAACATACATACCTTAATATATTCTTGAAGTGACTCATTTATTGCATCACATACTTCTGGAATTATTCCAGATATTGTGCTCTTTGAAATCCTGAATAGATATTGCWGACTTGTAAATGAATCACCTGTGGCAAGGAATCTCATTGTGAGAGCCAACCTTTCTCTTGCAGTTATTGCTTCTCTCATGTTAGTATCCATTCTTGTGATTTTTGGACACCAACACGTGACACCAATAAGAAAAAATTATTTTTCATAAATTAGTTGATAAATTTCATTAGTATCTTTTGTACATCGGACTTTTTAGGCTAAGGAAATATCTAAAAAAGAACTTTTTATGCTTCGGACTCTTTACCGCGACTTCAAAATATTGTATAATACAAATTTAGACTATAATGTTATAGTGGGGCTCAAAACTCTAGTACCTACCCTTGTTTTATCGAATCTAGGAAAAAAAAGCCCCGATATCAAAATACGGTAAAAAAAAGGAATGTAGGAAAAAAAGCCAAAATAAAAAAGGAGAAATATAATCCAGGGAAAAAAAGCCAAATTACATTAAAGTTAAATATAACAATTAAAATTAAAGTATTAAATTAGGTATTATTTATAAAATTGTACACAATGTTCACATAATTGTAAATAGTATAGATGTGTGAGATCGAAAGTATAGTTTATGAAACAATTATATCTTAACAAAATAAAGAGAATTTCCTTCGGAATAAGATGAAAGAAAATGCTATCCATTGAATAAAAATAACATAATATTTTGTGGATATTATCTTGAAATCAATTGATTTATGTCTTACAACCTAGATATGTTTAAGTATTAAAGTAAAATGTATAATATACTCTGTAGTCGGCAGGCCCTGATTTAATAAAATTAGGGCCAAGTGCACAATTTTTTTGGAGGCCCCTACCCCCTACCCCCACCACCACAAGCCAAAACTATTATTTTATTAAAGAATCGATCCATAGACCCCGATAGCTTTTTTTTCTTCTTATTTTCCTTATTTAAGTTTTCGTTTAGCCGCCCCGCTTAAATACWGCCRCGAMAWATTAGTTATTGCCTATTAAACTTTCAAAACAATTATATTTAAAARTCTAAATAATATTCATGAAAATTTAAAAAAAKAAGTTTCGAATATTATAAATTATCACATTAATGCTCACCTATTCAAATACACGTGTAACTTGTGTGAGTGACGAGCCACGAGCGTACAAATTTATAAACCACGATACTGACAATTATTATACAATTAAGAAAATACGAAATAACGGCCAAAGCATAATATTCATAATAATAAAATAACAAGATAATAATATTGTCATAAAATAAATAATATATTATGGTAAAGCGATCAGTGACGTGCGGGCACAACGCTAACGTCGCTAACCTTCCGACAATTTTTTACAATTCACGGAGATCGGGGGCCCCCAAAATTGGGGGCCAAATGCAAGTCCTCCATCTGCACTTGCGTAAATCAGGGCCTGGTAGTCTGTACAGAATGATTCTTAAATGTACATGTTGCAGTATGAACTACATGTTATATCTTTAAATWAATTAATTTATGTATATTTTTAATTTTAATTGTTTGTTTAATAAAATCAATACATTCTTTTTTTTATTATTTATCAATAAACTCGGCAGCTACATGGCCATTAGTTACAATAAAATATAAATTATACAAGATTACAAGATTTAAGATTTTAACAATATATATTTTTTTAAGAGGTATTTGGCGTAAAAGTAGAGTTTCTTAGTATTTATATAAAAAGGAAAGAAACAAAAACAAAAAAAAAGAGGAAAACAATTGCAAATTATTAAATTATGTTATAGAGTAGAGGCCTGTTGACTTCAAAAAAAAACTATCATTTTATTGTTCTCCAAAGCATTGGAGCATGTCTCTGACAATGCGATGTCGAGGGTCGTATCCAATCCGGTGCTTTGTCGTTCTTGCTGATATTTTAGGCATTCTGTTATGATGTGTTTCACTGATATTTGGACATCACAGACTTCGCTAGCTATTAAGTGCCCAGGTGCAAGTCGTGTGTAATCAATATACATTCATTGCTGTTTAGAATCTAAAATATATTCATTACTATGGAATAATGAATAACAACATATTATAACCTGTGTATTAATAATTATATACATATATGACCAATAATGTGTAAACAATTTTAAATAATACCTTATTTAATACTTTAATTTTAATTGTTATATATTTAATTATTGTAATTTGGCTTTTTTTTCTGACTACCTACCAAAAAAAAGCCCCACCTATAGGAAAAAAAAACCCCGTATACCAACTAAATACATAACACATTTTTTTATTATAGTGTACATTTTATAATTTGACATTTTTAAACAATATACCTATATTTCAACATTATTATGTAACATGTTTTTATAAATTTTTTAACTTTTTAAATTTATACATACTTTTATATAATAACGATATTTATATATATGTGACTATGGAACACTTCTTTAACATAATATACTCGTATCTATAACCACTATTTATATTATATTATAAAATACTAGTTTTAAGTTTAATAGTTGTATATACTTTTAGGACATATAATAATTAATAATATTTAATAAACTGTTAAAACATTAATATTAACAATTGTTTTTCATTAATGATTATATTATTATGTATCATCTAATTTATTATACTAAGTATTTATTAAACTATAGATAAATATACATTTGAAGTATAAGAAATTAAACTATATAAGTAATTAAAGTAATTGACCTTTGACTTTATCTTAAAAATTGTGAAGGTATTATATTTTATTGTAGACTCTACCTATCTAAAAACGGGTCTAAATATCTTAGTATCTACAACATTTTATTATTACAAAATATGTGTTTTTTCGTTCATATACCTAATATAAAATATAATATTCATATTTAAAAATTTCAAATTATAAAATGTACACTATAATACAAAATGTGTTATGTATTTAATTGGTACGGGGCTTTTTTTTTCTATAGGTGGAGCTTTTTTTCCAGGGCTCTTTTCCCGAATTCCGTTATATCCATACCAAATCTGAATTCACACAATTTTTTTCTACATTTATTCTATATTATACTTGTTAATGTAAATATTTGACATTTTATAAATAAGTATAACAATAATACAATGTATATATGTATATTTTTTGAACGCACTACAGCGTGGTTATCCTCAGACCCTGATCAAACGGAAGTAATATTAAGAGTTAGGTAACTTTATTTTGAAAATGATGAAGGTATAAATAATAATATAATATATAATAATAAATAATAATAATGTAACTAATATTGTTAACTCCCCAATAAATTCTACTACAAACTTTTACCTAGGAGGTATATTTTAAGGAGATTTATCTAGGTATCGAATAATAATAGAAATGTAACTGTTAAAACTAATTTTTAAATAAGATGTGATTTTATTTAATATGTTAGATATGTAAAATGTAAATATGTATGTGATTAATATTATTATGATTCAAATAAATAATTGTGAAGTAAAAGTACAAAAATATAATTATATTAAGCTAKGTATTTAAATTTATTTAAAGCACGGCAATACGTTATGTTAACCTAAATAATAAATACTTAATATAAATAATTAGGGCATTATCATTGAATGTTTAGAATTTTGACTGTTTTGTTGGTAAAACAGTAAGGGTCTTTAAATTTCGGGGAWTTTTTTTGCCTAGAATCGATATTTGTACATGCGAATGCGGGAGCTTTCCGCTACTTCATTTTTTACTCACTATAATAACATACTAATGACTCTACTAATGAGTATTTATCACTTACCACGCGCCCATTTACAAGACCTACATGCATACAATTTTAAAATTGCCCATTTTAACTCCTTTTAACATTGTCCCCCGCTTAGATCATTTATGATCGTATAAAATCTAGGACATTTGACACCCAATAATAGGACAATTATTGATACTCTCTCTTTCTCGTTCACACATATCATGGCTTTTTAGTTCTCTTTCTATTCGCGGTCTATTCGATTATAATATTATGTTCTTGGTATTTATAATGAATTATGAATATGATGTTATCATTTTATCAATGTTATCACATTTTGATAGAAGTTAAAATAAATGTAGGCAATATTATCATAGAACAATATATTATACACGGACACAAAAATGTTTTCCTACGAAAATCCATTCGTGTTTAACCTGGCAACACTGCTTATAGATAAAAATATCAAAGCTATTCAACAATAATTATTGTTCTCTGTAAGAAGTAAGACTGTAAATATCGATTATCGATATTCTGTTCGTCGATGTTACTGTTAACCATAAAATCTTACCTGCAATATTGGTTACAACATTAATGTTGATGGTTTACGGACTTACGGTCAAAGACTTTACAATTTAATTTTTATCATAATAATTCACCTATTCAGTAATTCAGTATTCATGAGTTCATGAAATCATGACGTTCAATAACAATAATATGGAGTGTTTTGATTAATCGATTGCCATTGCTCATTTCACGTTGTAAAAATTGTTTTATTTTTTTTWAAATTTTTTATGGGTAGACACCAGATAATAAACAATCATAACAAATTTGAGATTTTTCTTTCATGTGTGTTACGTTTAGATGTCACATAGTTGTGCTTTATAATTTCCGTGAATATAAAATTAAAACGTAAAAACTATAGTCCTTTTATATTTTCCGACGAGAAGTAAATTGGCGAAGTAAGTTAAACTAATTATATTTTGAAATTCAATCATCTTTTCAACGCTTTAGACATTTAATAGTTTGTTATACATTTTAATACACCGTTAAATTGATTCAAAAGTTAGTTAAAATACCTATGTAATATTTGCCTGAAATGTTCACCTACTTGGTTTCAGTATTAATATAAAAATATTACTATTGAAAAATTAACATTTTACCTGATACCTTGTAAGTAGTAGTATTTGATTAATTTTAAACATACTACAAAATCTTAAAAAGTTGTACCTATTGTAAAATGATTACTTATTGTTGGCGTTTTACTCTAGGTAGTTGATATGTGTTCTCACATACTGCCATATTTATTATCAATATTTATGTAAATCTAATACACATTGGTACCTAGCCTACCTATCTAGTTTATAATGAAAATGTTCAGTAATAGTAGTTGATTTTAATCTTTAGTTAATAAACAAAGGCCTGGAATACTAATAATATATTTTGTATAAAAATGTACAAGTTAAATAACGACATGGTTCCTGTCCCTCAGAATACGGAATATAACGTTTTGAAGCTATACAATATTAGTATATTACTATGCACCATTAGCAACACTTGTTAAAATCACATAATTATCAATATATTATTACATTTTTATTTTATTAATTTTAGACCCTTGATAACATAGACCATTGAGCTTCACAAAAAATGAAACTATTGTAAAATATACTATTCAATTTTTAGTCTTGTTACAGATAAACTAAAAAAGACATATTATATTAGCAATATGATGAGATATGTTTAAAAATCTAGTGTATACATTCAATGATTAGGTTATTGTTAATAAATCAATTATTAAAAAATCATCCATATGTCATTTTAAARTTTTGTGATGACAGTCTTAGATTGATTTTTACTATAATCAATGTGCATGAGACAGAGACAGATATTCAGTTAAGATAAACTATTGTGCAGTTTTCAATATAATTACACATATTTTATGCATTATGACTACATTATTTTGGTCATTAAATGTATTCACATATATATAACTATAAACTAGTGGCGTCATTTTATTTTACGATAGAGAGCATCATAATTTTTAACCAGTCCAAATAGGTAACTTAAACAAAGACTGCTTTCAAGCACATTCTACTAACATTTTTATCAAATTACCATTCCCAACTCATATAATTTATAAATTAATATTTTATACAATCGTTGCAGCCCTTTTTATTAACTAGGTAACAACATCATTTGCAAATATTAAGTATCAAACTGTAGCAGATATTTTATAAAAATAATTGTACTTACAAATTAAACTCAATTTTTTGTGATGTAAAATAATATTTCATCTTTACTGCTTACTGGTTAAGTTTTGTCTGTTTATAAACATATTGGAAATTGTTTATAATTCTCGGGTATTTGATTTAATTTTTATTTTTTATTTTTTTTCACAAGTCTGTTTTTTGCTGCACTATCCATTTTTTTTTTTTTTTTAATTTTAGTTCATACTAAAAATTAATGGACACACAACGAATAAATTACATTTTAGTATATTAAACTGAATTCAAAACAATAGAAAATATTACATCATACACAATTGTCATAAAGTTAATTGAAGTCTAAAATTAATGATAAATAAGATTATCGATCGGTTGTTCTCTTCATCTTACAAGTATGTAATTCCCGGACGAAAAGTCAGGCATGGAAATAGTTGGACAAAAAGTCCGGATTCATTTTTTGATTGCCGGACAAAAAGTCTGAACACATATTTAGTGTCGGACCAAAATTCTGAGCATACAAAATTGTCTATTCAATTTTCATTTGTAATTATAATGTACCTTATATTATATAATATTATTATGTAGGTATAATATATACACGTATATACACATGTAATATTATATATATAGTCAGTTCATATATAATTATTGTATTAGCAAACATAATGCGTAGATCAAATTATTAATTTATATCTGTAAATATATCGTATTGGTAACTTTAAAAAAAAAATATTAGTATTGTATTATTATTACTGTAGACTATATTTTTTAAGACGTATAACTTTTTTTTTTAATATTATTATTATTATTATTATATTTGGATCAATGTTTGTATTGACAATTTTTTAAAACATATAACTCATTTTAAATTATTCTCATTATAATTATTGTCGATGTTTTATAATATGTTATCTTAAAAATCATAATCCAGTGAATTTTTGTTGTATTTACGTTAGGAATAAGAAATAAAAGAATAAGAAAATATAAAAATGTGTTCGGACTTTTTGTCTGGCAATCAAAAAATAAATCCRGACTTTTTGTCCAACTATTTCCGTACCGGACTTTTTGACCGATTACCAAAGTATGTAACATACCAAATTATACGTTCAGCAGATAATGTTTATCTCCATTAGTTTAAAAATTAAAWCAAATTGAGCTTTTATAAAATTTTAAGTTAAGATTATTATCTAGGGTATTTCATAGGATTTTAATTATATTTTAATTTTAATGCAATTTATAAACATTTTAAATATTATATACATACAATTTACGATTTTAAAACACTCATGTTATCGGCTAAGTGTAAAATTTGATATGTAACGCACAAATGTCAATGTTATATCCTCTTCATTTTGAAGTTTAGAAATAAATCTATATGGCATTATGATATTAATTATTGTTGTTGCACTTATGACATACAACGGTCGAACAATATATTCCTTTTGCTTCATAAAACACACATACAACTTTCACGCACATTCTCACATGTGTCTAAACATACCTAAATATTTTCCAACTATTAATTATTGACTATCAATTTATCATTGTGACGATAATTTCTTAACATACAATATGTTTTTTTTTTCAAAATATTATGAAAAGGCACGTTTTTTGTGTTAATAAAATATAATAATAGTTAAACGACTCATGTTGTCAACCCCTCCACAAATGATGTCACTACTTCAAACATTCATATAAAAAGTACAAAAATTCTTTTATATAGGAACTTCCGTGTTTTTAAACTAGAAAACTAAAAGTTTGATATCATTCAATGTTTTTGATAGATTAACTATTAAAATATGATCTATAAATTATTTTTGTAGTGATGATCAAATGTATGCAATTGATAAATACTTATCTATATCAAATTGTTTCTTTAATGTAAATTTATGGATTGTAATATGGGACTTATAGATTTTTTTTATTAATTCTATACAATAATCCACATTCCATTTAGATAATAATTTGAAAATTTGATACAAGAATAAATATTTTTATTTGACTTATGGTAAATTATATAATATATTTTTCTGCTTTATACGTAACATTTATTTCGGGATAACACTTAGCTAAGACAAGTATAATATTTGGTATTTTACTAATGATGATATCAATATTATTCTTAAACCAGAAAAGTATCTTGTTTCTCTGTTATTCAAAACAAATTGCTATCAAGATTTTTGGAAAAGATCAATTACTTAATAATTAGTATTAAAGAAGTTTTGAAGATCAATTTTATGCAAGGTAAGTAGTTCATATTATCTAGTACAATATAGAGTAATCTGATTAATTATGTACAATTTTATGACAATATGAATGTATTAGAATTACCAGTGAATGCACTTATTAAAATAAAAAAATTAACAGATACCTATTTACATAGTAACATATTTAAATTTATTAATAATAATACACTCTTGAACAGTGTTGAATTTTAATTCTCTAAATAAGATAATGTTATTTTTTTATATGTATCTAAGTTACAAAGAGAATGGATTTTACCTGTATGTTATTATTTAATGAAACATCTTATAAATTAAAATGTATTATGTATTTATTTAAAATAAATTATTACTACCTATTAAATATCAATGTGAAGTACAAAATGTTATTGGATAATATAATGTCTTTAGGATTAATAACTCCTTAAATAATTTTAGTTTAACATCAACGTGATATTCAACAACTAAATTATCATTATTTTTATTTTCATCATTATATTATATTTATTTTTTCTACCTCAAGTTCTTTTGCCAAAGAAGATTATTTTCCAACAACATAGTATTTTTTTTTAAATTATTTATTAAAATATTAGAAATCTGTTTGTTTTAACATTAGGAAATTTAGTATAGGTATATATATACATAATCCAACTTGCAATTCACTAACAGCACCTGAATATTTATTTTTATATTTATAAATATATCATATCAAAAGTAAGTTTCTTGATCAGTTTAGTTTTAGTTGGCATTGAATATTGTCTGGAAGAAAAATGATATAATACCTACTTATGATACGACTTGATAAGTTTTTAAATTATGGTAAAATATTTTGTCATAGGTTTAAACTAGTGAAGGTACTGCAGTTAGTTATAGATGTTTATGAAGCTCTCTTCATAGTTTGTGATTTTAGTTTAAGTTGATGATAAAAATTTTATATAATTTGGTAAACAGATATTATCAAATTATATAACTAACTAGTCAATGGATAACAAAATTAATGGCATTTAATACTATTTTATCTATTTATTTTCTACATTATCCAATTTAAAATAAAATATTGAATATTCTAGTGGTCAAATTAATGTTTCTGAATCCTATATACCAATATTTGTATTTAGTATCACTTCTAACTTATTAAAATCCTTAAAGAAAAAATCACTGTAGTGAGTCATATGATTGGACTTATTTGTTATCCTTGTTATTATTTACTATAATTATTTAATGTGAAATGTAAGATTTCTTTAAATTGATTTAGTAATAGGGCTTTATCTGAAACCAACATCTTTCAAATAATAATTTCAACATTTAACTCATTTTATTTCTCACTGATGCATGTTTGTATTTCTATTAAGATTATCAGTTGATAGCTATCAATAATAAAATATAATAGCTATTCATTTGAATTTGAATGCGACAAACATATTGATTGCTATAGGTGTATTGGTTACTCTGTAAATAATTAATACCTAAACGTTTTCATAAAATAATTGACCATTTTAGGTATTTTATCAAATATATAGTAAATATGAATTTTATAATAATATATAAGGAGTTGTTATATACAATGATTTTTTAGTATACTAAATACTGAATAGTATTCAATGTGTTTTTATATTAAATACTATTGTATTAATAATAATTAAAGCAAAGTGACTTAAGCTTTTAAATGATACATCGTTATATTTTGCAATACTGAATATTATACTAAATATCACCACTTTGGATATTAAGGAAAGGTAAGTATAGTAAAGACAGAATATTAATTTATGTATTTATGACATATATTTTTCTAAAATATTATGGAATTATATTTTATAATTCTGTGCCTAATTAAAAATATTTTGTGCTTTTAAATTTTTTAACCATATTTTGAGACCTTTGCTTAAGTTGATTAGTTAATTAAAATAATATCTAATCAAACAAATTAATGTATAAAAACAATTCCATTCTTAATGACAGTTTTATAAATAGGTTTTATGGCAATTCTAATGTTCAAAGTCTAATTAAATAAATATTCATTAATATAATTACATTTTTTAGAGATTCTTACAAATTTGTCATTGTTAATTGTTATGAAAAATKTATTAATTTAAGTCTTAAATATCATGTAAAATAATTACTACTTTTCTAGGCCGTTCCTAGAAGGTTAAGGGCTCAACCCCCTTCTCACAACCCCATACATTTGTTCTGAGTATGACCTTATTATAATACCATTTTAAGAAATACATGTTTAAATTCTTCATCTACAAATAATTGTTTTATTCAAAGTCAGAAAGTAGACATTGAAATTTATGTGACCTGTCAACTTGTATGCATATATAACAAAATAATTCTATCCATGAAAATGGATTAAATGATAAATTAGTGGCGGATTTTTTATTAAATAATAAACAGTAAAATATATTGTTGTTTTTCAGTTGTTTAAAATCCACTACATAAGAAAGATCCTTCAATTGAAGTTACTAGAAGAGCATAATTTCTGATAAGATTTGATCTTGAGTGCAGTGATAAAACTATAAATTATTTTATTTTTGCAAGATAAATTTTGTTTTTTATCAAGTGTTTGTTTTACAACTTTGCTATTTCAATGCATTATCAAAATTTTAATGATTTTGATATCGAATCAAGTTTTCAAGAAGATGAGAATGTTGTCATTGACAAACCTTTTACTCCTGCCAAACCTCTAAAATCAGCATCTCCACCGCCAGTACGTTCAACATTTAAGGTAATAATGTTTGTTTATTTAAATTTATTTGCTTATCAATTGTTCATATATTATATTGATGTATTCAACTAGGTATTTCATAAGATAACATTTTTCTATTTTACTATAATTATTTCAGATATGTTACTTTTATATATTTATAACTGATTATAATATTTTATTTAAATATTATTCATAATTCTAAATCAATTAATATGTATTTTAAATGTAATTTATAATGTATTAAAGTGTTTACTTACTATGTTTATATAATTGAAATAGTATTATTTCGTAATGATTAAATAAAATTAGATAAGTTATTAATTGATTTAAATTTTTATTTAAAAGTAGTCTAAAMATTTTTAATTTTATTTCATGAATTCTTCTTAACTATTTATTACCTTAGATTAACTACAAAAATTGATTTGTACAATAAATTTAATTTAATAGACTTACTATGAATAATTTTTGATTTGAAATATTTGATTAATAAGCATTGTATTAAATATTAAAAATATATTATAGCCTATAGGTCAGTAGACAAAATGATCAAAAATTGATCATATAAATATGTTTGCCCTAATTTTATACACGAGTATGTTTCGCTAAATGATGATATCTTTTCTAATGCACCTAATTATTTACGTATTTATTTTTTTTAAATCAACTGTTTGATATAAATTAAGAACTACTATACCTATACTATAAAATAATTGTAATAAGGAAATTTACCTCATAATACCATTTTTAAAGAATTAATCCATTTATGATCTGTATTAATAACAAAAAGATTTTGTCCTAAACTAAATTGTTAGTTCAATTATTACTTAAGTACTTCAATTCTTAAACATAATGTATCAATTAATAGTTATAACTTATAAAATATAATTTAATATTATCTGTAAACAACAGATGAAATGAAATATTAGAATATAAGCCATATTGAAATCGAAAGTAAAACTATCTGTAGCACTAATATTATTGAACTAATCTGCTCAAACTGAAGAATGTTTTGAATATAAAGAAATTATTTTCTAATTTTTTTGACTGCAGCAAAAATAGTAATATTAATAAACATTGAAACATGCAATTAAAACATAAAATTAACAAATTCACCAGATCAAGAATAATGCTATTTTGATTTTTTTAACTGTTACCTATGATAGTTTTTTTTTTCTTAAACTAATTTGTTTTGGTATATGACCGTTATGTGTAATTATTTAATGGAATATGTTTATTCTAAAGCGTAAGTATAATTATTATTATATGATTTAACATTAAACTATACTTTATTTCTTTTCTTTTATGAGTATTATAATTTAATAATATATTTTATATTACAATCCACGTAGTTTCTAAAGTACATAACACAAATTATTCTAAATGTTATAATTAATGGAATTATTTATTCTTCAATATTGTATTTTATGGTCTTGGTGGACAGAAGTGATCACTTATTACTTATTAAAGGATTATTTTTAAAATGCATTATAACATTCAACATATTTTCTAATAATCCTAGATTATTCTTAAAATCCTTTTATAATCACTTTTCCATTTTTATTTGTATGATTATTTATATATGTATATATATATTTGTTCTAGAATTTCACATTCCCATTGATTTAACACATGTTTTTATCTTTTAGTATAAATCTTACCACTGCTGAAATAACTAGAGAAACTATTTATTTATGATATAATACAAGGTGTGGCGTAATTGACTCCCATATTTCCGAGGCATATTAAAAAAAAAAAGATACAAGATATAGAGAAAAAATGTTTTTATGGAAAGTATATTATTATAATTTATTTTTTTAATGTTATCTTCCAATTGAAGGCCTTGAAAAGTGATACACATATGGAGTCATTCTCAAAAATTTCTATCACTTGCCAGCATATTGTGTGCAATTCTCGTGTCTTCATGGAAAGAGATCAGGGGACCATGAAATATTTCTTGTCAAATGATGCAAAAATGAACGGCAGTATGGACTGTGTCTCTGTTCTGTTGAAACCAGAAGGCATCTTATTTTAGTATTCATTCAATTTTGGATGTAAAAAATCATCTTACATTAAATTTTGAAGAATCAATTTGAACTCACAGTAACAGTGACTCCGACCTCTTCAAAAAACCTAACCAGATGATGCTTAGCGAGAACAAAACATACCAAACAGTATCTTTAGGACTGTGAAGAAGTTGTTGGTGTATTGTTTGTGATGTTTCAGCTACTCAGTAACAAAAATTGTGCTTGCCTTACCGTGCCAAAAATATGAAAATGTGTTTCTTCACTACTCTACACAATGCTGTTGAAAGGTGCAATTTTTAGAATCACTATCGCAGTCCCACACTCGGCATTTTTTAAAAATGTCTTGATAACAAAACCATGTTGTTAACTACAACATTACATGGTGGCAACTGAAAACCTTATTGGTTACCTTATGTAACTAAATAAAACACTAATCTAATCAGTCTGACTATGTGCCAATGATTACTTGAAATATGGGAGTCCATTATTGTGCGCTGTCTATATAGTATATTATATTGTATATACTACTACAATATTCTTCCTAAAGACTGATATAGATTGAAATTGATACAAATCTGAATATCTTTTTATATAGATTTATTTAAATCAGTCGAAATATTGCTGATGTGGGAATACGCATATTAATCTTTTAAATGCAAACACAATATGTTAATATTGCGTTAAATTGTTATATTGTCCACTCATAGATGATTGTAATGTTTAGACTTACATGTTTCTTAATACATTGAAATTACATTCTTTCATTATTATAAATTTATAACAAAAATTAATATACCATATTATATATTTTATCTTAGGTCTTTTTATATTTGCCTAAAAGCAACCAAAACATTTGGTGTCATTGGATGTTAAATAAAAATGTTATCCAAGCAAATAAATTCTGCAACAGAGAACTTTAACTTAAATTGAATGTAAATTTGCTATTTATTTTAGTATTTATTATTTTTAAATTAAAAAATGGTTATTTCAAGTTGCTTTACCTAAACTTATCCCATTCCATGTTCTTCATAACATTGGTTATATAATGTTTTATATAAATTATATTTAAATTGTTTTTATAAACATGAAAACTAGATAAAYCWACATGTATCTCATATTATCTTTTAGTTTATAAACTGTATTTTAGCTAGTTGTAGTTTAGAAAAATAAAACACATAATATTAATATGTTAGAAAGAATTTTTATTATTGGTCATTAAAATATTTTTAGTGAATTTCAAAATAAAATGTTTGAATCATTAGTTGAATTATTAAATTTTATTATTACTAGTTATGCAAAATATAAATTGTATAACCTACTGTATTTATACTTAAATGTTTACCTGTAATTATTGACAAAGCTCTAAAAAAAATATGCAATTATATATTTTTTTTTTATAATTGTTATTTTGGTATAAATGAAATTAAATTAAGATACCTTACAATGTCATGAATTATGGTATATGGTTTGATCAATGATAAATATGTATTTTACAAAGAACTAGCTGTTTCTGCATTTCAGTTAATTTCTATATTAATGATAATATAAAAATAATAAAAATAACAGTAAACAATTTATATTTTAAAGTTAAAATTTTTTAGGCTCCCTCCAATTTATCTCGAGAAGAACAGTTGTTATCTACGGTTGTTCACTTGGATAATGGTACAACTGGATATTTAATAACTTTAAACAAAACAACAGGATCATGGTCATGTCACGCTTGTTATCCATTCAAAGTTCCATCTCTGTCATTGCTCGAAGAACATTTAACCAACAAAATGCATTTGTTAGAAATGGGAAAATCTTGTTTTCCCGCAAAAAACTTTATCCGAGCATCTTCAGAAAGTAAATATATTTTTATGCAAATTAAATAGTTCAGCATACATTATTGTGTGATCTAAATTTATGTGATGTTATTGGAATAGCTGGGATAAGTGTTGGTATGCCATCAATGGTATCGGGTGAACCAATACCACCAGGAATGGAAGACGAAGTGGTTAATGTGTTGGCCCGTATTCAAGCTACATTGGATTCAATTTTTGTACCATTAATAGGCATAGAATTTATTCTTGAATTATTACCGTCTGAACCAACTGAAGAACCTAGGTACATGTGTGCATTGTGTGACAAACGAGGTGATCCAAGAACTTTTCCTAATCACTTGCGAAGCTTTAATCATCACATGGCGTATTTGGTAAGTAATTTATTTATAAATTGTCAACATTCGTTGTAAAGTTAAAATTTTTAATTTTAAACCCTAGCGAAGATATTTTAGATCATTAGCCAGTGCATTGGAAAAATTAAACAAAGTGTCTTCTAAAGGATTTCAAGAATTAGTATTTCATGTTATTGGGAAAATAGAAGAAACCTATGGCCGAATGAAACCAATAGTGGTTGATGCAAGTCTATTTGATTTATCTACTGAAAAAATAAAAATCTTAAGACAAGTAAATAATGGAAAACATATCATGTAAGTAAATCAAAAGTATTAATTCTTTCATAATCTAGGGAAATATTAGATATGCTTGACTGTTTAAGGGCGATTCTTACCATGTCTGGTTAATTGCCCGTTAACGGTTAATCAACGGTTAGTGGGATTTTTATTGACAGAATTCTCCGATTAAGTGTCCGTTAACTTTAACCAGACATTTTAAGAACGGCCTTAAGGTATATTTTATGGACATAAGTAAGTATAAGTTATAAACCCTTTTAAAAATGTATACTATAATATTATAAAAAAATGTAAATATACAATTTACTACTAATTAATAATATGTATTCTCTCTTTAATGAGAGCATGTAAGTTGTGCACATATAATATATACTGACTACCAAGGCCTTATTTCCTCCTCTTCATAGTTAGCTACTCCCAAAGCTACCTGTTGATTATTTATTACTGTACACAATAACAATGTACACTGCCAATCATGACCGTTGGTCACTACCGTCTGATGGGGAGTGCCTAACCTATTCTTTAGGTGTTGTGCAGGGATATGTAGACCTGATCAATTTTGGTCTTACCATGGCATGCTCTCTCATTGAACTTTCAACCCTTTTAAAATCTATTTGATTGTGTTGCTGTTATACTGATATAGTTCAACACCATAATAAATACTTATAATTACTTTTCCCCTTACTCTTAAATATTATTTATAAAAATAATATTGGTATTTAGAACTCTTATCACATACAAAATGTGTCATTATAATTTTAAAGTTGTTTAATTGCCATGCAAAATAAATTGAACTTCAGATGGTATTAGTAGGTTTTCACTTTTTATCATTTTCTACTCTATCATCTTAAATGTTATCATCTACCAAAATCTTTTATTGCTAGCATAAGTACAGCATTTTGTATATTTACATCTGTAATTTTACCAAGCCTTATACAAATAACTACATGTCTGTAACAAATAGTGATAGACTATTTGGTTACTCAATCAATGGATACTATTCATGTCATAATTAGTAAATATTATGTAAATAAGTTGTAAAAAATCTTTTACTGATATTTTTGTGTAAACATTAAACATATACTTATATACAATCATAAATATATTACAAACAACACATTAAAATTAAATATTGTCTGACCAACACAAAAATAATAACTGCAAACTATGTATTTTAAAGAATAAATCCACATAAACTATAAAGTCTAGTAAAAGTTCAAAAAATTTTGAATATTTGTTGTACATTATGTTTATCTTTGATACAGGGAAAGTCAAGAAGACCTATGGATGTTAGATATGATAAAGCCAGAATTTGTTGAAAATCCTTCACTTTTACAAGAAAAATGTAAGTTTTTATGTCTATTTATCCTAATATCATTAGTTGGTCATTCTCATTAGGCTTAAGTTTATTATTAAAATTTTTAATGTTACAATTTTAAATTATCTATTTTAAGTTCCTTTAAAAAAAATAACTGAAAAAAATAAACGTGAAGAAGAAGAAAAACAAAAGGCAATTAAAGCTGAAACGTAAGTAAAATTATATTAAATATCTGGCACTTATTTCTATTACCTTACATTCATTAATATTCTAATAATTTGTGCATTTAAGGTCATTTAATAAAAATCCAAGAATCGCTGTTAATAAATCTCAATTGCGCCCAAAGAATGATAAAGAAGAAAGTGATTCTGATATAGAATTTGTTGATATTAAACCAAATACTGAATCCAAACCAAGAAAGCGTATATCAAGTAAATTTGTCATAATACTTATCATAAAATAAAAAAATTCAAGTCTAAGTAAATAATTATTCATTTTCAGGTAGAGATTCTAAAGATAGGAGACGTAGATCACCACCTAGAAGACATCACCGTTCTAGAAGTCCACTTCGTCATAAATCACGTTCAAAAACACCTGCAATGGTTAGACCAAGATCCCGTTCACGTTCTTTTGGGAGATCTCGTTCAAGATCTCATTCGCCTTACTACAACCGTAATAATAAATACTCTAGTCATCGGTAATTTAATACTAAAAATAAAAATAAATAGCATTTGTTAGTCATTATTTTGTTTGTAACAGAAGGCGTTACAGAAGCAGAGAAAGAGATGAATCATACAGAAGAAAAATTTCCCCTCCACCAAATGTGCATTCTATGCACTCTATGTCGGGTTATGTCTCAGGACATCCACATCCTAGAATGTTTTATGCTGCACCTTATATGTCTTTCCCAAGACCGTTTATGAGGTACCCTTCAACTAATCAACCTAGGTTCTACTCTCCAGATATATATTCAGCCGAATATCATACACAAAAAGAAAGGTAGGATTTTTACTGATATAAATATAAACTATGGTTATAATAGGTTTAATTATTATTATTTTAAATTATGTTTACAATAAGTTAAATTATAATTAAATTAAATTATACTCACAATAAAATTAATATAAATGCATGTTTATAATAATGTTTTGGTTTTCAGAGGTACGAGTAAAAGAAAAAGATTGATACAAGAATACGAAAAGGCTGTAGAAGAAATGAAAATTGAAATGGAGAAGAAGTTAAGTTATCATGAAAAAAACCCTGAAAATCATCCATTATATCCAGAGGAATGGAAAAAGTTTTGGAATCGGCGTTTTAAAGAATTGCAAATGGAGGGTAAAGATCCAAATACTTATGATTTTAAACCCGAATGGATCCTTTCATGGAGTAAACSTACACAGGAAATGCATGAAGAGGAAATCAATGAAAAGATGGAAAAACTAAAAAATAAAATACTTGGTGATATTAATATGGATAAAAGTTCTTCAGAATCGCCTTCCAGAGATTCTCCACCTTTAAAAGATAAAAAGTCGATGATTGATTCAAAACCTAGTTGGCACAATATTCCAGTTTCAGAAGTTTTTGAAAGGGATTCTGATGTTATAATTAACAAACCATCTAACGATAAAAAACCTCGAGTTGCTGGGGCATCTCCTATTAATTCAGATTCAGAGGATTCGATAAATGAAATCAATGACCATAATAAACCTAGGGAAAAGATAAAAATTGAAAATCCATTAAATGTTATTACCGTTCTAAGACAATTGAGTGTATTGGAAAGTCAATTAGGTTTATTAGCACCTAAAATAGTAGATTTGTTGTCTAAAGGTCTTGTGATGGAAAAAATTGAACCCAAATCCTCAATTAAGCTGCTGACTCCAGACAATTGTGTGATGTTTGAAACCGTAAAGGAAAAACTCAAAGGACAACTTTTAGCAGGTGTTGTCAAAAGGAGTTTGGTAAATGCTACTATGTTCTCTATTCGCAACATTGAAAAATTGATGCAGTTAGCCCCTAAGTTTATACCAACATCAAGCATGTTAAACTCTACGCCTCCGTCCATACCCACGCCTATACCCACAACCATACCCACAACTGTACCTATATCTAAAACTGCTCCAATTATAGTGCCCGGAGTTGGAGTTATTGATAAAATGGCTATTGCTCAACAAATAACTCAAGCATTACTAGCACAAGGTAGAGTGGATTTATCACAGAATGATCTAGAAACTCTCATAAATGCTGTTGTGGGTATGGCACAGTCAGGAGATAATATTCAAGGGGCAAAGAACTTATTAGCAAACATAAATAATGGAGATATGTTAAAAACTGCTTATGAAGAAGTTGAAAAAAAGGAAGAAATTGAAAAGATAAATTTAGACCAACTATCTCAGGGTGACATCATTAACTTATTGAAAAATTTTAGAGACTTGAATACTGATGAACAAGATGGACTTATAACTTATTTAAAAAAGTTGGGAGAAAAAAAACCAGAAGAGGTTAAAAAATTGAGAAAGTACATCGACATGGGACCATCTAACTTAAAAGAAGTTAGTTCTATGTTTAAAGATGATGATGATGATGATGACAATTATGAACTATCAGACGTTTGTAAGGCTGTTAAGGAAAAAGTTAGTGATCAGAAAGATGGAGACGTAAACAACATGGCTGTTAATTTTGAAATTACTGAAGAGCAACAGAAACTTTTAAGTAGTATAAAACATTTTTTACCAGAAATAAAATCTGATTATAGTTTGGAACCTACAAACACTCAAATTCAAACAACTCCTGACCAATCTTATTACAAAAGTCCTAACATTGAACCTCAGACTACTTCTTATTCTTTAGATCCATATTCAGCTAAAAATAATGACACTAATTATTCTCCACAGCCATCAACATCCACTACATTTTTAACAGACCAACCTGAAAAATACAATATTCCTCTAGAAAAGCCTAATAAATACAATAAACCCCAAGAACAGCCTAATAAATACAGTAAACCACAAGATCAACTTAAAAAATACAATAAAAATCAAGAACAATCTAGTAAATATAATGTACCTCAAGAACCGCCTAATAAATACATGGCGCAAGAACAACCCAGTAAATACAATATGTCACAAGGGCCACCTAATAAATATGATATAAATTCTCAAGAGTTGCCTAATAAATTTAATGTACCTCAAGAGCCGACTAATAAATATATATCTCCAGAACCGATTAATAAATATATGTCTCAAGAGCTGCCAAATATGTATAATATACCTCAAGAGGAACCCAATGAATATAATACTTCTGAAGTGCAATCTAATGAGTATGATATATCTCCAGAGAAACCTGATCCGTATTCAGCTAACCAAGTAGATAATTACAATGATCCTTATTCACAAAATCGAAGTAATAATTATTACCATGGGCAACATCAGGATTCTTATACTAAATATCATCAAAATGCTTCCAGTTATTATAAAGGTAAAAATTCTTATAAAACTAATAATACTTATCCCGACACATACCAAGGAACGCCTAGAGAAAATAATAGGAACAATCGATTCAATCGTGGTCAAAATAACCGATTTCAAGGCAGACGGTAAATTGAATAAATAGATTTTATATTAATTAATTAAATTGATTGTTTTAGAGCCTAATTAAGATTTTATATGTTCATTAAAAATTATGCAACATTTTATGTTCTATAAGTATTTAAATATTTTATTGTGTAAAGATCAATGATTTTCTCATCATAATTGTTCAGTAATTAACTTATTTTTAATAAAATACTTCATTATTTTTCATTATTGTATTATTTTGTTTTTCAATAACTTGTGTCAAAGTTGAAAACATCCTATGCAAAATATTAAGTGTAACATTTTTTTTCTTGTATTTTGTATGATATTTGGAATTGTATATTCTATATATTATACAACAAATTTTAATGCATATTAAATATGTCAATATTTTAAAGTATTAATACAACTTGATAAAATTATTATGTTATAAAAAATTAATATCTATCATAATTTATAAGCATACCTATAACTAAATGTTTAATAACTTTACATTTTTACCTGATATTTTAACTGATAAGCTATAGTATTATTGTTTACAAAAGTTTTAATTGAATACATATGATTACTAATTTTAATGTTTATTTTTTGTTGACAATAATTATTACACACTGTACTGTGTACACCTTATGATCATAATTATGTTTCAACTATCATCCCATTTCTTATCATATGTCTAGTAAACGATCAGTAATTTATGTTTTCCTATTACGTGTTTCAGGTTTTCTATAGGCTCGTAATTGTTGATCTATAAGTGCTAGATGATAACCAAATAATGAAGTAAAATACATATTTTTAATGTTTCTAATGAAAATGTTACTTCTGTGCTATACGAATCCTAAACTACTAAATAGATGTGTCAAATTTGAAATTAAAAACAAGATCTCTCTCTCTCTCTCTCAGCCGTCAATATGAAATGTGCTGATCATACTTATTGACATAGTGACATATTTTGAATTAATAAATACTCAAGAAGGTACTGATGATATTTTATGAAAATGTATCAAGATTTAAAGTAAATAACCATTTGTTTAAGTTTAAACTTCTTCCAAATGTACAAAGCAATAAATAACTAATGAGATTGTATGAGAAATATTTAATAATTATAAATTATAATATTATCATAGAATTGCAGCCGTTTGTCAGTGTGTATCCCACTCGTAGTCTTATCTGGTATGTCTATATATAGACAAAGTTGGGTAAGTTAATAGAAATCATTAACTTAAATTAAAGGAACATAAATCGTTAGGTATCACACAAATCATAAATGTAACTAACTATGCTCTATGTTAATACAGAAGAAATATCAACTCACTTATATCAATTTTTTTAATTTAAAAAAAAAAAATGATCTCACAAGGAGTATCTTGAACCTATCTATTCAATATAATATTATTTTATCAAGAAACATAAGAGAAATTATAGCATTATTAGTTTTTACTTACTATTATTATATTAATAATAATTTTAACATGATGGATTATTTTTTAATCAACTAAAAGAAGCTAAGTTATTTCAACCATAAATTGAACTAGATAGAAAATTAACTTAAACTTTTAACATTACCTATATAATTTATAAATGACAAAATTGGTTTATAGTAATATACTGATTTGAAATAAATAGTATACCTCGGCTCGCGTACAGGGGAGGAAGATTCAAATTCAAATTAATTAATTTTTAATATTAATTAATATCAGAATATGATGAGTTAATTTGTTTAGTAGATAGCTAACCCTAACTATTTTGACTAACATAACAACTAAATAACTGACAGATATAGCTATAATTTAGTATCGTAAGAAATCACCTTTCAAATTAGATTCCTAGCAGATAAATATCCCGTGGAAAAGGGTTCTGGGGTCCCGTCTCCCGAAATTCTCTATACATATAAAAGATAAAAAAAATGTTAAATGGATAAAAAATAAACACATTTCATAGGTATAGATTTATTTATTTTAGGTATTTCAGAAAGCGTTGTAAAAAACTAGTTTTATCTTTTGTATTTGTAATAATAATAGTAGTTGCAATTGTTAGTTACAAGTTTGCAATTTTGATTTTTATATATCTGATTATAAGAACTATTATTAGTTCCTAGTTGTAAGTAGAAAACTTAAATGAGAATTAAACTTATTATTTATTATTAATAAATCCCAATACATCGATTGCATTTAACGAAATAATCAATATTATGTACTTATTTACGATTTTTTTTGGTATAATAAGTTATAATTTATTCAAAAATTAAAGTGATAAAAATGAAAATAATGTGTAATGTTGTGTAAATTTTACGTTAATAAAAAGGAGTGAAAATGTTATGCCTATTAATCTTAGAATAATTATTTTCAGTGTTAAAGTAAAAAAATTGCGCACATTTTGCAGGTTTTTTTTTAATTGCTGTAACTTGGTCAATTTTAGATTTAAAAAGGTGGTTAAACTGCTAAACTTCTTTTWAAAAAAGTTGTATTGCGCATGCGCAGATCTATTTAAGGTAAAATACATCAAAGTCCATAAAAATGTGTGTTTTTATGTCACTGCTAAGACCTAACACCCAACTTAGAAACTGAGTTCAAATTTCAAGTCCTGCGCAATGACATTGAGTGTTCTCAATTAGCGTTTTATACACTGTATATTTGTGTGTATAATAGGGTATACACTATACAAGTATAATATAATATATACCTACCTATTGGCTATTATATGGCATATCCATATTAATATGACCAAATAAATATGAATACGCATATACCTAGCTATATCTACATGATGGCTACATCATATTATTATATCCATACATGTTTCAAGGCCTTATGGGTAAATAGATATTTTGGTTAAGAAACGTAACGTTTAATACTGTGGTGTTTGTTATTTGCTGTATGAACTTGTGTTATGATAATGTTAACATCTTATAACCTTTTTTTTTTTTTCGAAACCGGGAACGGTTGGGAACCATAGATTATCTATRGTGGGAACTGTTTGTCTGTTTAGCACAATACTCAACATCCTATAACCTATACCTATATCTATTATTCCATCAGAACCATCGGGAATAATGATCATCATATTCATTCAAACCTTATATATTTATACCTGTGATTACTAAAACAAGTTATAGGTAATTGTTTAACTGTTAAAAATGACATTCGGGCAAAAAGTGATTTCATGATTTATTTAGCAGTTTTCGTCGCGTCCAGTGTTTGATTGTTTAAATGTTTCTTGGAATAAAATACAATATTCGTGTTACGTTTATACTGCGGGGTTGATGGTCACTATAATCATTATAATATACTTTATACAAACGACTAACGAGTCTTTGGATGTAAATATACATTTMAACGATTTTTTAGTCGCCGTTAAATGTAACCAGCTCCACGCAACCRTATACAACTGTAACCGGGCGCCCGCCAAGCCGCCAGAGGATCTCGCACGTCATCGGAGACCGTAGCGCCCCGCGAAACCAGTCGTGCCAAGGGTGGTCGGAGAACGTGCGCTGGTGACTACAAACCTATCGCGAAACACTGAACCAAACTGACATAAAATAAGGCCCTCGAGAATCGAAATGGATACTTCAGGATTCGACTCTGCAGCAGACAGCGCGTCACCACTCGACGTCGTATCATTATAGCAGTAGTGCAGGCATAAGAGATGTAAACGATAGTACAAGGCGGTTTTCGTCCTCATAACTTCCGTTCATAATGTTTACAACTATTAATTCTTCGAGTGGGTAGTGAGAATGTATTGCGTTTTTAACGTTAGGTATGGTTATTAACAGTCATTTGTATTCATGCGTAAATATACGTGATAGTTATAAGTACTTAAATCGAACTAATTGCTTTTGCTAATGAACTTAATTAACATCCAAATACAATCCAACACAAAGACAGATCAATTCAAAAATCTCCTAGGGGCTAGGAGGCGACATTTATTACTAAACAGCGAATACGTTAATCATATTGGCCTGCAGAAGTAGGATTTTAGGCGCGTTTATATTCCTAAAGACGGTTATTATTATTATTTTTGATACCTTATACCTATATATATGTATACTTATAATATGCTAACGAGAATTTCGGGTATTTCGGACTCGATTTATATGTAAATGATTTATATGTATAGGTAGTCTATTTTTTATGCACGACATTTGTCTTCTAACAATTTAAATATAAATAGACACACCACACACCAGAGTTTTCAATAAAAAAAACTTGTTTTCGAATATTTTACATTTAATAAGACGACAAGCAAGCGCACATGCCACTGTCACATAGGATAATAATTATTCATTACAATTTTATGTTATAATTTAATATAATTTAAATACTATTGCTAGTGTATAATATGTACATATAGCGTGCGATTGCAGCGTATGTATTACAGGGAATTTCATATTCAAAACGTTTCCAGCGAATGTAATATACGAAACGACCACGATTGAATGAGTAGTTGATATGAGAAAGTACTTGTGTACGAAATAACAATACGGGTATACCTATTATAATAACATCAAGTTTCGAATGTCGGGTCTCGGATGCATATGCACTCATTACATTATTTGCGTAATTTGTGACCTTGGCTTTTCTCGAATCTTTATAATATAATACTATACGTCTATGCATATAGTGTCTGAATAATATAGACATTATAGACAAATATAATAATATACACTGCAGTATCTATATAAACGTTGATTCAAGCAGTGGTTGAGATTTACTGAAATTAGAAATGGTAAACTCCGACAAAGAAAGACTATATGCCCTGTATGAGATAGTGTTCTGTACCAGAAATATTTAACTAAATCAAACCTAAGTAAATTAGTTTAAATATATATAGATATAATATATAAAGTAATGATGATCAGAAGTATAATTTAAAAAATTGTGACAACATATTTTTAAGCTATACGTATAATGGCTTTAAATCATTTTTTGATTATAATTTTGAATCGTTCTATAATTATTTAGATTTTAATAATATTATGATCATATTTTCTGAATATTATTGTACTATTTAATTATTGATGCCATAAGATTAGTATTATAATATTTAAAAAATAATTAAAACAATTTATCTTTAATAACATAATGATGATATGCATTCCGAATATTATATTATTATTTCGTATTTATTATCATATTTTAATTCTTTCATAATATTATTTCACAAAATAATTAATTGATGTTTATCTTAAAATATTATTTTCTTAATGAAGATATGATATTAATACGTACAACTGTATCATTACGAAAATGCTATCTGGGACCTACAGACTAAGAAAAATATATTTAAA